CCATTGTGTAGCTTTGTGCTTAATTACAAAAGCAAACAAACAAGAGTAATGGAAATAATAATGGAAACACATACATGAGTCAGAAACAAGTAAAAATGGCAACTAGATCGAGAATTCATTAATTATACTAAACATTATCAGAGAAAATAAAAACAAAACGAACAAAGCGTATAATGTACCAGAATTTTGTATGTGGTTCTTGTTTTCATACTGACATACAGTTTAACGATATACGATTTTGAAACATTGTTCGAAGTGTCTTATATTACCCTCCCTGCTCACACACACACACACACACAGTTTACTTTCTGATACTCCAGTTTTTACATACATCCATACAACCTCAATAACGTTCATATCGGGACTCTGAGCAGGCTAAAGCTGTAACTGTTTCATCAAGCCTCTTTGACATGTCTCTTAGCAACAACTTACAGGGGCGTCATGCATCTAAATTATTTGGAGGGAGACTTTATTTAATCTGGTGAAAGACGAAAGAATCCTGACAGATGACTCGTGTTCTTGAAAGATAAAATGGTAGCTCAGACTCTTCCTGTACTTGGCAGTTGTAAATGTTTTACTTTCACTACGATATCACTTTCCTCTTCAACATTTGTAGTTGGTCGTTGTCGAACAATCCGAACTTGGATTAATATTTAAAGATTACGGGTCTCCAACTTAGCTCATTTCGCCGTTTGTGGTCTGATGCCTATCTAATCTCATGGTTTGGTTACCTATTCTCAGCAGAGGTTTCCAAAAAGCTGCATGTCCATTGAGACTACCTCGTGCTGATGTATGTATCTTGTCGGTTATCTATCTCGAACTCTTCTATTATCAACAATGCCAGCTTCATCTACTCTCTTCTAACTCTTGCATACACCCCCCCCCCCTACAGAAACGTGGAGTCTTTTTCGCGAATTTTGCATGAAATGTACTTTGTAGCCAAATACTTTTATTTCTACATCCCCTTAGTATACTTGTCTTTTATACAATTTTTCTCGACGTTTTTATAATTACTTCTAACACTTCAAACCAAAACCAGCAATAGAGTCGAAAATACCGTTAAGATTATGCTATTTAAAATCGCTAATTAAGATCAAAATTTCATATCTCAAGACTAATGTTGACTAAGACTAATCATCACGACAACTCACAGATTATTTATCTTCTGAAGACTCGTTTTCAGAATGAATAACATTCATGATGTTTTGTCTGGTAGGAGGTCAGAGAAAATGGATTTCAGAGACCCTCTACCAGAGGTCAGAGGTCTCTTTTTATAATACGAGGACTTAGATGCAAGTAAACCATTTACACCCTCCCCCAAAACGGCATGATATTTGGTTCATATTCCTAACAAAGGTTTGTTTGCTTGTTTGTTGTTAAGCACAAAGCTTTACAATGCAATATCTGTGCTATGCCAACTGCCCCCCCCCCAGTGGCACAGAGGTATGTCTACGGATTTACAACGCTAGAATCTGGGTTTCGATACCCGTGGTGGGCAGAGCACAGATAGCCCATTGTGCAGCTTTGTGCTTAATTATAAACAAACAAGCTATGCCAACTACGGGTATCGAAACCAGAGTTTTAGTGTTACTGACCCTTAGATTTACCATGATTCACACGTGGCCCCTAAGAAAGGAATAAAACAAAACAATCGTGAAACTGTTGAGGAGCTTCTTTGAAAAGAAATAACGAAGATAGATTGGACGTAAGATCAGGTTGTTTTGTTATTTTTTGTACACATGCTACTTGTACTTGTATCTGTGATAGATATCTTGATACCGTAGTTTACATAAAGCGTGATTACATACACTTTATATGTTATATCACAGTACGTTCTTAATAAAATATGTAGCCCCCACCCCCTGTCTCAGCGGTAAGTCTGGGGGCTTATAATATTAAAAATTAGATTTCGATATCAGCGACGGTCAGAGCACCGGTAACCTATTGTATATCTCTGTGTTTAATAACAAATTAGATATAAAAAAAGTATAACGAATACTTATTACTTTACAGTATAGTCCTTCCCGCCAAAAGGACGAGAAATGATAAACAGTAAATCGAGAATGCTGGGCTGTTACATTAATATAACTTAGGCTCATTAGAATTAGTAGATTGGATAACACGGTCCACTGGCCACGTATATGTCAGTTTCAATAATTGAAGGGACACATGCCTGATTGAAAATGGTCTTACATCATGTTCAGTGAAGTGAAAACTAACTTTTTTTTTAGTTGTAATTAGATCGTGTTAACAAAGTCTGTGGTAAGTAAATAACGGTCATAATGTATTTTTTAATACAACATAGATATTTTGATTCCTCTTGTGATAAACTCTGCAATCTATTTAACAACTTGACTTCAGATACAACGTTACAGCTCAAATAATTCTACGAGTTTATAGCACAAAACTATGGATATTTTTTTATATAACTCTACGAAACAAAACTGTTGCATATTGATTTAAATGTTCAAACTACAGAACTTCACTGCATTAAGACATCTAGTTTCGTCACTATGCGACGTCTGTTAACACGAATTTGTGTTTTTGGGTCGACGACACGAACATACAATACAAGAGTAAGACGACACGAACACTCACACCGAAACAAGTGTAAGACGACACGAACACCGATACATGTGTAAGACGACATGAACACCGATACATATGTAAGACGACATGAAACACTCACACCGATGTTCGTGTCGTCTTATACACGTATCGGCGTAAGTGTTCGTGTCGTCTTACACATGTATCGGTGTTCGCGTCGTCTTAAACATGTATCGGTGTGAGTGTTCGTGTAGTCTTAAACATGTATCGGCGTAAGTGTTCGTGTCGTCTTACACATGTATCGGTGTGAGTGTCGTCTTACACATGTATCGGTGTTAGTGTTCGTGTCGTCTTACACTTGTATCGGTCTGAGTGTTCGTGTCGTCTTACACATGTATCGGTGTGAGTGTTCGTGTCATCTTACACATGTACCGATACATGTGTAAGACATTGGAGGAAAATATTTTGTTGAATTAAACAAGTGGTTTTAAAACTTCATTCAAAACTGTATAAGTAGTGTCACTTATCATTTTCAAACATATTTTAAACAAACAGAAATCATATTGAAAAACCAAAATGTACTAATTATAAAACCCTTCTATTATCGAACAATATAACGCAAACAACAGAGAGCTACAGTCTATAGCTCTCCGTATTTTGGATGAATTTTGAATCACCAACTAACCAGCTGATAAAATAAGGCTTTTGGTTTTAATGGTGGGAAAATACACTAGCAGCTATGTGTATAAGATTCACGGGTTTAAAACCTCTTAAATTAGTGTAAAATACATCAAGAGAGTCCGAATTTAAATAATGTAGCGAGTAAATGGAGTAAAACATAAAACAGATAACTACAATACTTCAGTATCCTGCCAAAACAACAGTCTTTCCAAGTATTATACATAAACAATAAACTTTCCAGTGTTCTGTAGGAACAGCCAACTTTCTAAGTGTTGCACAAGAACAGCCAACTTTCTAAGTGTTACACAACAACAACAATCTTTATAAGTGTTGCACAAGAACAACAATCTTTCCAAGTGTTGCACAAGAACAGCCAACTTTCTAAGTGTTGCGCAAGAACAACAATGTTTCTAAGTGTTGCACAAGAACAACAATCTTTCTAAGTGTTGCGCAAGAACAACAATCTTTCTAAGTGTTGCACAAGAACAACAATGTTTCTAAGTGTTGCACAAGAACAACAATCTTTCTAAGTGTTGCACAAGAACAACAATGTTTCTAAGTGTTGCACAAGAACAACAATGTT